TTCCCTGCTTTCAGCTAAGATCCATCTAACATCAGCTACAATATCCCTAGTACCACGACCCCTTCTAAACCCAGCCTGGACTTCTGGTAATTCTCTGCTGATGTGCTTTTCCAGTAGTTATTATTAATTGCTGTCAAATATTAATCTATAATCAATAGATTTGAACCCTGTCCAATCTTGCACCAACCTCACCATCTCTGACACTCTAGAGCCCATTGCTGCAGTCACTGTGTTAATCCATCTGGTTGAGCATCTTCCTCTCCTTTGCTGTCTCTCCACCTTTCCAAGCATGATGTCCTTTTTTGAGGAGACAATAGTAAACCTATACAAATAATGAAGATAAGCTTAGCATCTGGAAGTATTTTATTCAACAAATGTTTATGAAATGACTACGTATTAAGCATTTTGAACATCACCTAAAAGTTTAAGACATGACATCGCTTCCATATTCTTAAAATGCAAATAGAAAGACAAGAAATGCAGGCCTGGAATTGGTAGTATGTTGAAGACAGCTCGTTATAAATTCATTGTAGGCAACTCTTAAACATTCACGAATTTTGCTAAATATAGCCACAATTTAAAATTGTTTTGTTGTTGTTATGTGTCTTTGAGTCCCTTGCAACTGATAGCGACCCTATGTATAAGAGCCCTAAACCCTGCTCTGTACTGTGCCATCCTCACTGTCTCGGACACATCTTCTCCCATTACCCCAATCACTGAATCGATCCATCTCATCGAGGGTCTTCTCTTGTGCTGTCCCTCCACCCTCCAAAACATGGTGTCCCTCTCCAAGGACTGGTCCCTCCTTGCAACATGCCCAAAGTATATCTGTCGAAGCATCAGAATCCTTGCCTCCAAGGAACAGCCCAGTTTCACCCATTCCAGAACAAACCTGTTTGTCTTCCTAGCAGACCATGGTATATTCAGTACTCTTCTCCAGCACCACAGCTGAAAGGCATCAATTCTCTTTCTATCATCCCTAGTCACTGTCCAGCTCTCTGATGCATAGCACCCAATTGTGAAGACTATAGCCAGGATCAGGTGCACCTTAGTCTCCAGCCTGATGTTGTTGCTCTTTAGTACTCTGGAGAGGTCCCTGATAGCTGACTTTCTCAATGCAATTCATCTCTTGATTTCCTGGCTGCTGGTACCAAGAGTGTTGATGGTGGAGCCAAGCAAACTAAAACTGTTAAATATCTCAATCTCTTCACCCCCCATAATGATGCTGCCAATTGTCAATTGGTGAGAATCTTTGTTTTCTTGATATTGAGCTTCAATCCATATTGAAGGCTGCAGTCCTTGACCTTCTGCAGCAATCACTTCAGGTCCTCCTCAGTTTCAGCAAGCAGGGTTGTGCCATCTGCATAACACAGGTTGTTGATGATTCTTCCACCAATCCTGATGCCACATTCCTCCTCATACAGCCCAGCATCCAAGTGATCTGTTCTGCATATAGATTGAAAAGGTATGGAGACAGAATACATCCCTGGCAGATATCCTTCCCAATTTCAAAACATGTAGTGTCTCCTTGCTCTGTTCTGATGACGGCCCCTTGGTTCAAGTATAGGTTTCACATAAGTACAATCAAGTGTTCTGGGATTCTCATTCTTCTCAGAGTCAGCCATAGCTTGTTGTGATCCACACAGTCAAAAGCCTTTGCATAGTCAATGAAGCACAGATAGGCATTCCTCTGGTACTCTCTGGTTTCTGTGAAGATCCATCTAACATTAGCTATAATATCCCTTGTATCATGATCTCTTCTAAACCCAGCCTACTCATCTGGCAGTTCTCTGCTGATGTGTTGCTCCAGTCATTTTTTGGATAATTTTCAGCAGAATCTTTCTTGCATGTGATATTAATTATACTTTTCAATAGTTTGTGCATTCTGTCAGGTCGTCTTTCTTTGAAATGGGAACAAATATCGATCTCTTTCAGTCAGTTGGCCAGTTGAAATCCTTCAGATTTCTTGGCACAACTTAGTGAGCACATACATCCAGGGCAGCATCTCAGCATCTGTTTGTTGAAATATGTCAATTGGTATGCTGTCAAGTCCTGGAGCCTAATTTTTTGCCAATTCTTTCAGAGCAATTTTAATAACTTCCTCCTTCATCATCATAGGTTTTTGCTCATACATTGTTTCATGAAATTCTTCTGTGTCAGCCAATTCCATCTGGTACAGTGACTCTGTACTCCTTCCATCTTCTTTTAATGCTTCCTGGATCATTTAACATTCTGCCCAAATCATCCTTAAGTATTGTCACTCGTGGCTTGAATTTGTTCTTCAATCCCTTCAGCTTAAGCAATGCTGAGCAAATTCGGCCCTTTTGATTTCCTGACTTCAGCTCTTTGCACATTTCATTATAATATCTTGTTTTGTCATTCCAAGCTGCCCTTTGAAATTTTCTGTTCAGCTCTTTAATTTCTTGATTTCTTCCTTTAGCTTTGGCTTCTCAGTGCTCTACTGCAATATTCAGAGTCCCATCTGACATTCATCTTGTGTTTTTTCTTCCTCTTCAGCCTTTATAATGATCTTTTGCATTCTTCATGGATGATATTCTTGATATCCTCCCACAGTTCACTTGGTCTATGCTTATTGGTGCTCAAGGCCTCTCACCTGTTCCTGAGATGGTTTTGAAATTTGAGTGGGAGAGATGTAAGGTCAAATTTTGGTTCCTGTAGATTTGATTTTCTTTTCTTCAACTTCAGCTTGAACTTGCATATGAGTAGTTGGTAGTCTCTTCCACAATCAGCACCTGGTCTAGATTTCAAAGCTGATATTTAGCTTCTCCAGTGATTTTTTCCACAGATGTAATTTATTTGATTCTTATTCATACCATCAGGTGAAATCCATGTGAATAGCCTGTGTTTGTGTTTCTTATAAAATATATTTGCAATGAATAAATCATTGAGTGCCCAGAATTCTATTATTCTATCTCCAGTCTCATTTCTGCCACCAAGTCCATGTTTTCCAGCTACTGATCCTTCTTCCCTATTCCCAACTTTTGCATTCCAGTCACCTATTAGTATCAATGCAGGCTGAGTGCATGTTTGACCGATTTCTGACATAAGTAAAAAAAAAAGAAATCAAATTAATAACAATGACAATAGATACTAAAAGCTCATCACTTCCGATTTATTTCTAACAGTCTTTGCTGACAGTACTGTGCTGCTCATGGTAGCAGCCGTAAAGAAATCAGATGATTGTACCATGAAAATCTGATGTCAAGGACCTCATTAACGTGCTAAGTAGCAAGGATATCAGTGTAAAGCTTCAGGTGTGCCTGATCTAAGCCATAGTATTTGCTTCCTATGCATCTAAAAGTTGGACAATGTATAAAGATAACCAAAAAATGAATTGATGGCTTTGAATTGGGTTAAAAAGAGTATTGACCCACTTAACATCCTTTCCAGATTAAAACAGGGAAGATATATCTCTTCTCATCATGACTGCAAACACATCACCCTAGAGTCTAGAGTGGGAGATAGGACTTCTGGAAAGAAAGAAAGAAAGAAAGAAAGAAAGAAAGAAAGAAAGAAAGAAAGAAAGAAAGAAAGAAAGAAAGAAAGAAAGAAAGAAAGAAAGAAACCAGGAACAAATAATAATAGCTTTTTTTTGGGGGGGTGGGTCGAAGGCTGAAGTGATGTAAAAACATATTTTTTCCAAGTATTTAGCAACATAATCTTGTATAATTTTTAAAATACATCTTATTAGGTAGGTCTATTGCATTAAAGAAAATTATATGCTTTTAAAACCAATTTTAATAGTATATATAGTAAGGTTCAATCTTTGATTGAAAATGAAAATCCTAGGCCAGGTGATGATGATAATACTATATGGTTATATAATGTGTACGTTAATGTTGACCACTTATACAAAACATTATTGAATAGTTACAGAATCCTATTACAGTTGCCAGTATCAAGAAGGATAAGTATGGGTTCAGAGAAGACGGGTTTTCTGTATATGTGCATAGACTCAGAGCCCTTAATTGGTCATTGTATAATGCAACATGTAAAACTAGATGCAGAAACAGAAATCATGCTAATGATCTCCGGATATTGGTTAGAAAAATTGTATAAGAAGTTCATTTCTGAGTAAGGAGAGGAAATATTGCCATATGCAGACACTGGCCTCAAATGTTTCGTAGCAGTAGGTAAATATTTTGGTATAGCCATGATGTAGAAAAGTCATGTAACCATTGATGCTATCTTGTCCATTGATAGTTATTGTGGAGCTAAAAGATCTTAAATCTGATTGCCTATTTGGAAGCAAGAGTGGCATCCACTTCCTAAATAACATGCCTCTGGAAACTCTATGAAGTTTGATAAATGTCAATGGTTGTAGAGGGACTTCAGGCCTTTTGTTCATGGGGTCACTTATGACTTGTACTCGACTCGAAAGCAATCAACAACAACAACAATGCTAATATAAGGGAACTCTGGTGGCCTAGTGGCAGGAAGCTGTGCTGCAATCCTCAAGGCATGAAGTTCAAAGCTGCTCTGTGGAGGAGCAATGGACAATCTCTTCCCATGTGATTAACTGCCTCTGAAACCATGCTGGAGGGTCAGCTATGGGTCGGTTCCGACTCAATGATATGCAACAACAACAATGACATGCTAATAAGATCATATTATGGATCAAATAGACTTTTTAAAAATAATTTTAATGAATATTTACAGAGAATTTGGATTTCCACTCATTCATTGCTGCACTTCTCTACCTGTCCAGCCCTCACCCCCCGCCCCCCTCAAATAGACTTTTGTGGATCAGGACTTAATCATTACTTCAAAAATTTTCTTTAGACTTAAATAACCAATTTAGAAACTAATTTCTTGAACACTGTTTATAATTAGGATTAAATTTATAAAGGAAGAATATTCAGCTTTTACATGAAATTTGTATTTTTCCAGGCCTGTCAGAGAGTTTTCCATGCCAAGAGGAGCAAACACTTTTTGTTACTGCACAAAAGCAAACGTGATCGTTACTGGGGGTAAGCGCATGCATTGTCGTTTTTCTTTTCTTTTTTTTTTCTTTTCCGTTTTCTAATTTATTTGATTAGTGTTCGTATCTGAAAAACCATTATAAATACATTATTTAGGAGGGCAGTAAACTATTTTCTTGCTCTGAAAAAATAATATTCCTCCTCACATTTTGAGACCTCTTAGAACGCTTTTATAAAAGAGATGCAAGGAGAGCGCTGACAGCTGGGTGTGAACATTGTCGTTTTTCTGCCTTGCAAACAGCGCTCTCCTGGATTAGTGTGTTGATTTAAATAAAGTTCTAGAATTTACTCCTGTGGTAAACCTTTTGCTAGTTGCTGTCCAGTTGACTCAAATTCACGGCAACAACAGGTCTATCAGAGTAGAACGGTGCTCTCCATCTTTCTTTCAGGGCATCTCAGGGCAGAGCGAACATCCAGCTTTTTAGTTAACAACTGAGCATATTAACCAGTTTTACCAGCAAGGGACTCTGGGTCAAACTTTAGAAAATTGAAAAATTTGTTTAAAGTCAAATATCTCAGTATTTTTCTCTGTAATTTCTGGATTTGATTACATACTTAGAAAGGCTTTTCTCATCCCCCAAAATATGGGAAAGAAATGATCTTGTATTTTTTTTGGAACCTTGAGTTCAAAATAAGAAGACAAAGATGTCCTTCAGGCACTGACTAAAGGATGACACTGAATAAAAATATAAAATAAGGAGGCAGATGAAAGACACAACCATGTGGAGCACAGTACAGCCATTTGAACAGCTATCTCCAAACATGGGGCTTGGAACTGTGGAGAGGTCCACATCAGCAGCAAGTTGAAGGTGTGATCTTCCTTGTCCTCCCGAATGTCAGGAGAGTGACTCCCTCCCAGCCCTAGGTGGTTGGAAGTGTTCCCTGAGGCATTTTGTATCTAGCATGAAGACAGCATGTAACTGAGTATAGAGACTGGGAGCCAGTGGCCTGTGCTGTGTCTAGGCTGCAGTCAGCCCCTGGATGAGTGTGCACCACCTCTGACTGACCATGTCTCCAACTGAACACCTTTGTTCAGAACACATCATGGCCACATTTGGAGCAGTGCATACTCTGTGGAGGGTCATCCTTGGACATTTCAGAGACTATATCCTTACACTAGCCATCTCTGACATACCCTGCCTGCAATCTTCCTAGACTGGCAAAGACACCGTCTCTAGTCAGGAAGACTATCTGAGGAGAGCAGATTCTCTGTGCCCCATCATAATGCCTCCTATACCACAAGATGTATTACCTGGGACCGGGCTCACATCTCAAGACCTCAACCACCTCCTCTCAGACAAGCAGAAACTCTGACCTGACTGGGAACCTCCACTCCAACATTCTACTAGATTAGGAGACACTGCCCTCGGCCAGAAATGTCACCTCAATCCCCTACACGGTGACAAATCACCAACCAGATGCCCAGCCCAGCCCCCTCCAAGGTCTCTTCTTCACTCTCCGATTTTTTTCTTTTTGTTTGTTTGCTTGTTTTATGTTTTACTTTTGTGTATTTTATAGTTTTTTTTCTATGTTCTGCTTTGTTAATCTCTGTAGATGTTTTTTCCTTTCCTTGGCTGGACTTTTTTCTCTGTGTGCCTCCTTTTCTCTTTCCTCTTTTATTTTTGCCATTTTTATGATTCTCCTATGTTTTGTACCCCTCTTAGTTTTGGTTTTTCAATTCTCATTTACTGTCTGATCTGTCTTTTCTTTTGGGGGTTTTTGCTATTGTTATGTTTCTTTTTCTCCTTGTCTCACCTGACAAGACATCACCAGTATCTAGGCACACACAGGCCTCCTGTAGCTAAGCCCATTGGGCTCATTGAACCAAGCTCACCTGATCAAGAAGACTGTAACTGCTGCTCACATAGAGAGATTGGTGGCATAGTGGTAAGAAGCTGCACTGTAGGCCCAAAGGCGCGCAGTTCAAATTCACCAGCTGTGTAAAATCAGTGAACAGAGAACAGAGCACACACATCAACATCCTCTATCACATCTTCCAGAAGACAAGCAAAGGAACACACTCACAGACATCAATCAGACAATACCACCACAGTTACCTGGAGGCAGCATATAACTTTAAATCAGCTCCCTCAAAAAGAAAAAGAAAAAAAGTAAGATGGAGGTGGGGAAAGGGCTCAAAATACAAAACCAGAAAAGCTTCCAGAGGAAGAAAAGTTACTAGAACTGCCTAATAAGGAATTCAGAAGAATGGCATTTAAATGTCTCCAGTAGATTGAGAAAAAAATTTAGGCCACCACAGACAAAATCCAGGAAAACAGACAAAACTCAAGTGGCCAGTTTAAGACCTATGTTATCTGCAGGACCATCCAACTATGTTGCTCAGCTGGTCAAAGCCAACAACATCATTTCAAAGAACTGAGAGTCCTGGATTTTTGTTGTTCTTGTTATTAGATGCCATTCAGTCGAGTACAACTCATGGTGACCCTATGAAAAACAGGTCTCAATCTTGATAGTATATGTGAGACCAAATTCCAGAATAGCAAGTTGTTGTTGTTGTTGTTATTGTTGTTGTTAGGTGTTGCTGAGTCATGTATGACTCATAGCAACTGTATGAATAACCAATCCACCCTGCTCTATCCTGTGCCATCCTCGCCATCTTTGACACACTCAAGCCTATTACTGCAGTCACTGTGTCAACCCACTTGCTTGAGGTTCTTCCTTTCCTTCACCATCCCTCCACCTTTCCAAGCATGATAACCTTCTCCACGAATTGCCTCTCCTAGAAACGTGTCCAAAGTATGTACCAGTGAGCACTCTGGCTGCATCTTCTCCAAGACTTACTTATTTTTTTCTTTTGGCAGCACTCTTCTCCAACATTATAATTCAAAGTCCCTTCTTCTGCCATCCTTATTCATTATCCAGCTCTCAGATACAGAGCAAGAGACTGAAAAAGACCATGTCTTGATCCAGGCACACCTTAATCCTCAAACTAACATCATTGCTCCTCAATAATTTGGAGAGGTCCCTGACTACAGACTTTCCCAGTACACTACGTCTCCTGATCTCCTGGCTAGTGGTTGCAGACATATTGATTATTAATCCAAGTAATAAGATGGTCTCTGTCCTTTCTCTATCCATCATGATAGTGCCTATTGTGTCTGGTGGTGAGGATTTTGTTTCCTTGATGTTGAGATGTAATCTATATTGATGTCTGCAGTCTTTAACCTTCTGCGGCAAGTCTTTCAAGTCCTCCTCACTTTCAGCAAGCAAAGTTGTGTCATCTGCATAATGAAAGAAATTCCTCCTACAAAAGTAGAAATTCCTGAAGATTTTCTGGAAGAAAACTTCCCAAGTATTATGAAAATGAGAAAATGTGCATTCCAGAAACTGTGACCCTCACACAGCATAGGCAGACCCTAAAAGAAAAAACAAAGAAAAATCAAAATCAAATGTTCCAAAATTAAAAACAAAGAAAGAACACTGAAAACAGCTCAGGAAAAATGAAGAGTTACCTACAAAGGAGAAAAAAATAACACTGTGGACAATGAATACAGCCTTGACACACACCTTTCTTAATATTAATTCGCAAAGTGTTCCCTTGCTCCATTAAGACAAAAGATTTTTTTTACAAATTCAGCTTGGATTTCTGACAATTCTGTGTCGATGTACTGCTCTAGTCATTTTAAAATAATCTTCAGCAAGATTTTATTTGCATGCTGGATTAATGGTATTGTGTGGTGATAGCTACATTTTACTGGATCACCCCTTTGGGATATCTACAGTCTACCAGATCACCTTTTGGGGAACGGGAACAAATATGGATCTCTTCCAATCAATTGCCCAGGTAAATTAGCACAACCTAGTGAGCACATCCACGGCTGTATCATTTTGTTGAAACATGTCAATAGTTGTCACATCAATTCCTGAGGGCTTATTTTTGGCCAATGTCTTCAGTGTACCTTGAACTTCTTCCTTCCTTACCATTAGGGTTTCTTTCTAATTAATAAACACATTTTATATTAGTTTGTTTACAAAGTTTATATACATTGTATTCACACTATCTTTTATTCACATCGTGTTTCATACAATCATTCCAACTTACTGTATTTTATAAAATTAATCAACATTGAGCTATGCCCAGCACTGCCCTATCTTTCCTGATCCCACCAGATCTTTACCATTTCCTTTACTCACTTCTGCCCCATCATCAAATCTGTGACCCTACGATTTTCCCTCTGCCCATCCTCACCCCTCTGCTCCTACCCTTCCGCCTTTGGATCCTCATACACATTTTACTAGTAATCTTTCTATTTACGCAATAACGATATAACACAGTATTTGTCGTTAAGGGACTTAGTTCATTTAGTATAATGCTCTCCAGTCCCTCCCAAGTTGTGTAGTAATTTTCAAAATCATTGCTCCTGAGTGCTGCCAAGTATTCCATAGCATTAATTTTTGATCACATGTTAATTCCTGAAATGGTTCTGTGTCAGTCAATTTTTTTGGTACAGTATCTATGTATATTCCTTATATCTTCTTTATTCTTTTTATGCTACTTGAGTCATTCAAGATTTTATCCATAGCACTTTTTAGTATTGCAACTTGAGGCTTAAACTTATTCTTCAATTCTTTCAGCTTAAGAAATGTTAAGGAAGTTCTTCCTTTTTTCCTTTCTAATCCCAGTTCTTTAACCTCATATATATTAAATTACAAT